TGTCGTTTTACGGTGGCACTCGTGCATCCACTCATTCTTCGTGCTACCCCAGTCGGTATGCATTCTCTATCTTCTTCCTGACTCAACTCTCGGAATTCCAAACTTCTTCTTTTGTCCAAAAGACGGCAACCAAATGCACATTGCACGGTCCTAACATCACGTTCTCTGTTTCTTTTCTTCAAATTCTTCATTTCTCACAGTAGGCCACTTATTCATGCCTTAGTGCTGCTGTTTGTCTAGTTAAAACGCTGCATCTGTTCTGCTGTTTCCAACTGAGATGAACCCAATTTTTTCTTGCCTCGATGGTAATGCACTTGGGTTGACGTTAAACTCAGTCTCGTGACATCAGGATTAACGGATCGCCTGTTATGTGTCCCCCGTTCCAAACCCACAGAAATTGGTCAACGAAGTGTTCCAAACCATGTGGTTTAGTCCTGTTCGGGAGAAGGAGACAGTGAAGTTGCTTAGAAAAGTGGTCAATATCACGGACGTGGTTGCCGCATGCAAGGATACTGGATACGAGTGGTTTGAACAATTCCTTCGTAGTGTAAGTGTTCCATACTTGTTTCTTCTATACTTTCCATCATTAGGTTCAGGTTTCACAATTTAACTTAATATTGTTTCCCCATCTATTTTTCTCACTCATTTTTACAGTTGTTGAAAAAGGAGGAATGCGAGAAGGTAAAACCAGTCGAAAAAGCTTGCAAACAAATTGTAGAGTGTTTAGTTCAGAACATTATGCGACTTGAAGGTAAGTCCATCAGAGTTCGTTTCTGGAGCATTTGTTTTTCATTAGTCATTTTCCATTAGATCTTAGCAACAAATTGCTTGTGGGTCTGAGCCTCAAACCAATCGGAGGCATTGGATATCTCAGGTGTCAGTTGTCTTGATGGAGCAAAAACGGCAAGTCCCGACCTGCCAGGATCAAAACAAAGTTAGGTGGCATTTACAACGTCAGCTCACGAAGATCCTGAAGAAGGACCGTGAGAACTGGTGGGCAACAATAGCTAGTAGCGGCTGCATCAGCGAATAGTCAAAGACTGTTCCGACTGATACGCAATGCGGAAGTCGGCGAACTCGTTAGTGAAACAGTCTGCGATAAGAGAGGACGAGCTATTCACAATAGGGATCAACCACTCGATCGCAGAGCGGAATACTTCAGCGAACAGTTCAGCTGGCCTAGTGCTAACCAGGCTGCTTTATCTACAACTGAAGCTTCTTGGGAAGTGTCTTGCGATCCTCCAACGGAAGCAGAAGTTCGGTCTTGCATTCAAGCTCTGAAGCGAGGAAAGGTAGCAGGATCGGATGAGCTCCCTCCCACTATTTTCAAGATGGGGAGGGGGTGATAACCGCGTAAGCTGTATTACTACCTTACTGCGCAACATTTGGACTCAAGAGCACATTCCTTCATCTTGAGGTGAATCACTGATCGTTCCTATTTTCAAGAAAGGATCCCGCAACGATTGCAAAAACCACCGCGGGATCAGTTTAATCCCGATCGTCACCAAAGTGCTAGCTTCCATTATACTTCGACGTCTGACGCCTTTAAGAGAGACCAACATCCGTGAACAGCAAGCCGGATTCCCGAATGGCCGTAGATGTATTCATCAGATTTTTACGTTGCGTCAGATCCTTGAGCTACGTCACACCCACCGTCGGCCAACGATCGCAGTGTTCCTTGATCTGAAAGGAGACTTCGACCCAGTTGACCACGAGGCTCTGATGGGCTCCCTTCTTCGAAAAGGAATGCCCCAGAAGTACGTTGTTCTCTTGAGGTCACTGTACTCACAGACCTCCGGTCGTGTAAAGGTCTACAACGAACCAAGTAGGCTGTTCGTCACCAGCCGCGGCGTCCGTCAAGCATGCCCTATTTCGCCGTTCCCGTTCAATTTCGTGGTCGACGAAATACTGGAGAGCG